TAATTTTTTTGTTAACATGTTAATGTTAATATAAATATGAAGAATTTGAATCTTATTCTAAAATACTGTAATTAAACACATACGATTGAAATAGTGAAAAATATAGACAATCCAGGTCCACTCGTGAATCATGAACTTAGACAAGCTGTATTTAAGAAAAAAATGTTGTACAATAGATATTATAAGATGAAATAAAAGAAAAACTCGGAGAAATGAAGATCCCAGATAATCTCTTTTTTTAACAAAATCAATCAATTAGAAATCATTTTATAGAGCTGTGTGTGGGTGGACCAAAAAGAATATGCCAGTTGTTATCAAAAAGTTCGTTTCTATGTATGTTGGCGTTTGATTTTGTTGCACTGTGTTTCTGTTGTTCCGTTGTTTTCCTCTTATAGTTGATGTGTTTCCCTCGGTTTTATTGTAACCCGGATTTGTTTTCTCTCAATCGATTTATGGCTTTTGAACAGCGGTATACTACTGTTGCCTTTATTTGGCCACCATCAAACTTATCGAACAAAGGTAGTCATGTTGATAATATCTATATTCATGTAACAACGATAACATTTTTAAATGATCAGTCAAAGATTGGTAATACGTTTTACGATTTTTTCAAATATAACAATAGATATTGGATCAGACTGCTGTAGATCAAAACCACCAAACTGTTAAAGCTATTAACTTCGATTGTAGAAAATAAGGTAATTCAGTTTCCAAATGTATAAAAGAAACCTTTGCAGAGAAAAAAATAATCAAATTGATGTAAATAAAGCAACAGGTAAATATGGGCTATCCGTTTAAATACTGAAATTGGAAAAACAAACAGCAGTTGTGACACGAATAACAAAATTAATAAAGACAAATCGGTTGAGCACTCTTTATATCCCGACACCTATATCCCGACACCTAAAGGAGGCTAAGTGGTGCCACTTCACAAGGGAAATAGTCAACTTAAAGCTGGTACCTATAAACCAGCCAGTATTTAACCTGTTGTGTCTAAGTTGTTTTTTAATACAGCCATCTACCCTCAGGTAGATTGTTTTCTTCGTGGTTTATTAGATCCATATGTATCTACCATTAGGGCAGGATAAGGCTGCTAGACAGCACTCCTTAAAAATATTGATGATTGGAAAAAAGATTTTGAAACGATCATTATATTGCTGACTGACTTCCTAATAATTTATTGATTTTGAAACAGAAGGAATGTAGATAAGATGAATCAACTATAAACGTGATATATACATATTTAAGTAAAATAAAACAATGTATAATAGTTGGTATCGATATAAGTATATAGAAAGATATATAGAAAGGAGCAATATATTTGGACCTGTAATTTTGATGGTTTCTTTGAATGATATTTTTTCTTTTTGTGTCAAGTAGCTCAATATATATTTATGCAGTGATAAAACTTTTTGTCATATTCACAATCTTATATAGACACTGTTGTAAGTATTATAGAAAAAGATAGCTTAAAGTATATTATTTGGTTTAGTTTAAATCATATGAAGCCAACCCTGACAAGTTTTAGACAATATCCATTGGTAAGAAAACAGAACATCCACTATTTTTGAACTTTGGCAATCATACCACATCTCCTTATTTTTATAATGAAAATATAAACATAGACAGTTACCTGTACTTAAACATATTAATAAGATTTTACTGAATTTGGTAGACTCACTGTGCAATATTGATTTATCCTGCACAATTTTAATTACTGTCCAATAATGTGGGATTCTTGTGGTTGTTGTAATACCAGAAAAATATAGAAAATACCGGAACGTGCCATAAGATTTATTTATAAAGACTATTGTAGCACATACCAACAGCTTTTAACTAAATAAAAAAATATCAAGTTTAAGAAGAAGAAATTGAATGGTAGCAATAGAGGTACACAAAAATGATGATAAACAATTTCAACAGTATATACATGACCTAAACGAAATGTAGTTACCCTTTCAGAATTCAATAAAACGGATGTTACTAGGGTAAGGACAATCACTCATAGACGGCACTCCTTCAGATATGCAGGAACAAAACTCTGGAACGAGCTGCAGAATAAGATGATGAAAGAAATCCAATAGGGTCAATTCGAAAGTTTGTTTGGAAATCATGAGATCAGCTCTTGTCAGTGTTCTTCTTCCAGATAATAGAAAGGTGTATGATTAATGTTAACCCTTATATACTCTTTTGCTTCATACCTTTTAAACTTGATATCAAGGCTTCACTATTTTTTCAGTACTTGCTACAAGAATGTTAGTATGTCTCCATTTAATGTTTGCTTTTATATGTTTTACTTTGCTCATTATTTGCTTTAGTTTTTTATGCTTTGCTTGTAACATTTATGCTATGCATGATGTGCCATCTGCTTTATATGTTTTATGTCTTGTGATTATCATATGTATGTTTGTAAAAAGCTCTACATACCTTATGTTATATTGCTATATGTATACATACCCGACTTTAAATAAATGCATAAAGATGATCAGTTTAACCTGGATCCCGAATCACAATTTTCCGCACGAGGTCTATCACATATCTACAGTTATTTGAGCGGACGCAGTTTTGGAAATAGCAACAAACAGTTATAATATATATATTCACAATTGAATATTTCAGGAGTGGAGATTTTATATCACTTTTGTATTGCTCAATAGTGTTTAAAATTTCGCTTCAATTCTGTATTGGCTTTTGAGATGATCGCGCAATGCATGTTAGTCGAACTAAAATTTAATAGAATAAGACATTTTTACGAATGAGAAGGGTATACTATTGCAACTGTTATAAGACCATTTAATGTTAAAAATACGTTAAAATAAAACAATATGTACAACTTGAAAGTATCCAGCAAGAAGTAGTACCAGCATATCGGAACATAGCGTGTACAATATTATTTCGCGTTCACATATAACCAAAATTTTCCACTGTCCTTACTGAACAAATGTAACCGTGAATGAGGGTTGGAATGGGGAAACCCATTTGATGATTAACGATATGATTTGTTTTATTTAACTTAAACGATAAATATTTTACCCTATTTGACACACATGTTACTGACAAATACGATTTAAAAAAAATAACTCATGTGGCATTAATCCTTCTAACCGCGCTGAACGAAGAAGGCGTTTCAACGCATAACAAGACAGACCTTCACAACCTGCCTGACTATCAAAATCTGCCGCAACCTCAATCTACTTGCGGTCGGTCAACTTATTTTTTTTATTAATGGTGAATAATAATAACGATGGGTGGTAATGACCCTCGGCTTTTATATGGATCTGCATTGACGAAGCGTGGAGATTGATCAAGTAACATAAGAGAGAGGCCACGTTATATCTATTTCACAGTTCACTTGATTTAATATACAAAACAATAAAGATCGTTTGAAGAAAAAGAATTAAAAACAAAACACCAACACAATCATATAACTTTGCGTAAACATAGATCTAGGGAAATGAAAATCCGAACCACCGAAAGCAGGTCAATATGATCTACATTTTATGTTTCCAAGTTTAAGTTTCAGATACGACAATTAATTATTGAAGGAAATATATAGCTGCACCATCTGATATTTGTTTTCAAAATGTATGTAAATATGCAAGAAGTTGCACAGTAATCAAGTATTTTCATCACATGTTAAATGTATCAGTAATAACCACATTATGTCAAGAATAAGGATTTCTATTACATATTCAGCGTAAGTAAATTATTACATTCAAATGGACATCTTAATTGTTTAAAGCTGTTGTCCAATTAGTCGATTTTTTCAAATAAAAGATAATACATTTTTTCTTTTCACTTACTGAATAATATGTAATTTTCAAAATTCTCATGAACTGATAGAAATGAATTTTTCGACAAAAACAGAAGAATCCTGTGGGGGTATTGGTCGGTGGAAAAGTAACCCAACAACTAAAAAAAGCTGTATATAAATAAATGAATAGTTTTTTTTTTTTATTTCTATTTATTAAATGATTTTTTAAACGTTAAACATGATAACTAAGATGTTATGTTTATAAAGCTCAAATGTCCTTTTTAAAAAAAGAGCAAATGTCCATTAAAAACGTGCAAATGTCAATTTAGAAAAGCGCAAATGTCCTATAAAAAAAGCACAAACGTACCGCGCCGGTAATTTATGTCTCATAAATAGTTACGGATTTATGAGATGCATTTTTTGAAGAACAGATGAAAAATAGAATCTGTGTAAATAAAAGAAAGCACGTTGGGTGTATTAAAGGTGATTCACTTGAGACAATAAACAAAATCACATAACTTACATAATGTTTGTTGCCTGGTCTTAAACTCATTAGAATGCAATAACCTTATAAATTTCATTGTCTTTTCTAACAGTTTATGTTATTTGTATGTTTAGATACATGGAATGTCTGTTTTAAATAAAGAATGATCTCCTGTTTAATTAAAATTATTTACTAAAATTCCCAGAATAAAGTACCCAAGCGCTTCAGATCATGATTAAAACCGGATGCTATAAAAATCGTATAAATGACACAGAGGTTTTTCAGCATTAAAATATCCCCGTATCTTTATAATATTAAAAAGTCATTTATTAATATTAACAGAGGCATATGTCTCTAATATTAATAAATCCGACTTAATATTAGAATAAAATAATTTTATGATATTAGAAAATCATTTTTTAATATTAAAAAATAATATGATTCTTAAATATTGATTAAATTAAATAATAGGACATACATTCCTCAACGGCTTGCCATACTTCTGACTTTCTTTACTTAAAATCATAAAAATTGTAGTTGTAATTCACATAATCGTATTAAGGTAACTTACTATAAAATTATTTCAAGATTTACATAAAAATGTAACACAAAAAGCTAGGAGTAATACTTTAAATGTTTAGATTAAAACCATTTTTAATCTGTAACGAAATGAGTCATATGTAATGATAGCGACATGTTTTGCCATTATAGAATAATAATCTCTTTTTTTTTATAAAGTATAAATATGCTGTGCATGTTATGCAATGTGTCATATTTTGGAAAAGACCAGTAAGGTAAATCAATTGAAATTTTCATTACTGTAGTGCAGGGAAAACTCAAATCAAATGTGGAAAAATATTTAAGGAGCCACTTTCTGTGAATGAACATTAACGACTTCGAGTTGGCTTACCTTTTTTTAATTCCCAAAAATATTTAGATAAACAGAGACTAGTGGCTCATAAGGGTCAACATATATCTTTTCACGTTCGTATTTTGCAAGATTAGCATCACGACGAGGGTAAGCTGCAAGTAGTCACAGTATTGATAAAGAGATACGGAATTTGTATATTGCTGACATGATATCAACCGAGAATCATAACTTTTGATATCGGTTTTACTGCTTTTATATGATTTAATCTAGTGACTTTTTTAAACATACTGTTTTGTTCTTTTCATTGGTTCATTTAATTTCCCGTCCAATGAGTTCGATGAAAGTTTCAATAGAATTTGTACAACTTTATTTACTTGTTTGTCTATAATACTTAGTTCACGAACATATCATTCGGCTTCTTATTTGATTTGATTTGATTTTTGATTATTCTCTTTCTAACCCCTTAACTTGTCGTACCATTTTCTTGGAAGCAGTAAGGGATGGAAACTTTATATTCATAATGGGTATGGGTCTGTATCCTGGGGGTTGCAGAATCTAATGTTCATGAAACCAGGGTGTCCACTTGGCATAATTAGGGGGGTTCAAAGACGTGTTGAGTCAAAAAAAATTTACATGTCTTAGAATGGTGCTTTTTCTAAAGAAGATGGAATCATGATTATTCCTTTAATTATTTAGAGACACATGTCCACTTCAATATGGAACATTTTTTTATTTCAGCTGGGGGTCTCCTTGTCATTATTTTAGGGGGGTCAATTTTCATGGACATTCTAGAGCATCAATGTTGATTCAATTCTAGAGACATAAAATGTTATATGATGGTAGATTATTATGGGTAGCACCATATATAGCAACAATTCAAGTTTGGAATTTTCAAAATAGCCGCCGTTACAATGGAAACTGCAAAATGTAAAAATTTTTAAAATACTACAAACTTAATGAAACTTTACACAAATGTTAACTAGCATATGTAGATGTGACATTTGACTTTGGAATTTCCATAATGGAAACTATAAAAATGTGAAAAAAATTCAAAATGCTTCAAACGTAAAGAAACTTAAAAAAAATGTCAAATGGCATATGTACTGCGGCATTTTACTTTGAAATTTCCAAAATGGCCGCCGTACAAAAAAGAACAGCACAAATACTTAAAATTGAGATTTGGTCCAATTTTTATGAAATTTGTCAGTAATTTGACTTGTCATGTGTAGATGTCCTGTCCGAATTCGGAATTTTCAAAATGGCTGCCGTTACCATGAATACAGCAGAACAATGGTTGGGGTCCGTTTTGGCGACTTTTGTGTCAGCATTCTAAATAAAGGCAACAGTAGTATAACAGTAAAATTGAGAATGGAAATGGGGAATATATATATCCTAACACAGGATTACTTGTTGTTAATTGTATCCTTTTCATTTTTATTTTATTTTTTTTATTTTCGAAATTTGTGGGTGTTGTTTTCTTGAATGATTTAAAAGTCTGCTGTTATGCAGATATAACTGTATTTAGTTCATACCTCTATCATAGCTTAATGAGACGATCTCACAGAAGCTGCTTTTTTTTTTAAATAAAAATTGTTCTACTTAAGAATTCTAAAGCCTTGTGTGTTTTATTCAGCATAATTTGAGCTATTGTTGCAATAATTGGCTATTGGTAATAAACTTCATCTCCTTATTTTTATATTAATAATTGTTTTTGTTTCTAAATAAAAATATGCCACTGAAGTTAAAATATAGTCTCAAACCTGTTAAATATGTAGCTCAAAAGGGAGCAGTATTGATAATTTGTGTAGCAATAGACCGCGTACGGACTATGATAATCCTCCAAACTCTTTGGGTGACATTAATCTTATACGCAAGTATAGATTATTCGCTTATTTAATGTGTTCTTGCTCATATCCAAAAGATATCACAAAACAGTAGTTTATATGTGATGCCCGTCTATTCATAGGCATCATATATAAATAAATCACATTCAATAAATGAAAATATAGTTTAAAATTGTTAAAACACAAACAAACAAAAATAAAGGCAACAGTAGTATATCGGTGTTCAAAAGTAATAAATCGATAGAGAGAAAACAAATCCGGGTTACAAACTAAAACCGAGGGAAACACATTAACTATAAGAGGAAACAAAGAAACAAACATTTGAGCAAAAGGGGGTCCATTCTCCAAGCGCCTGTGATCCGTCATGAAATAATTTATGTACTCCGTATCTAAATGAAAGATGCACAAGATTTGACTTTTAACTCTGTAAAGTATAAAACTGTGACACATCAAATTAAACTCACTCAAAAATATATAATGATTGTTATCGATTAACTTTTATTAGTTTTCACTATTTACAAATAATTTCTTCAGTTATTATATAAAACCTTGTTACATTTTTTGTGTTTTTGTTTTATAAAGTTTGAATGTACAATTATTACATACATATTATTTACCATCTTTATAATGATACAAATAATATTTCTAATCTTTAATCTTATGATTATTTACTAATGCTGAAATTCGATGCATTCGTAAAAATTAAAAAAATTCAAATCCTATATTTCTTAATGCTGACACTTAGAACAGTGGTTAGGACATCCTAGCTAAGATAGTCCTAAGATAGCTTCGATGTGTATGCTGAGACATGTCGTAAGTCTGTCCTAACTTTATCTTAATTTATTCCTAAGATAGGTCTTTGGACAGATCCTAGGACAGCTTCGATAAACAGGCCCCAGAACTATTCGAAAGGTTGGTAACTTATATTTGTTTTATAAATCCGATTTATTGAAAGTGACGGCTATTCATACCTTGGAAAATTAGCAGTTTAAGTTAGATATAAATACTAAATACATTATATTCAAATATATTAACAAACATTCATGTAACAGATTGGCTAATGATTATTGTAGAGTCTACAAGAATGAAAATATCCTGACACTTTAAAGCATGGTTCAATTTTATGGTAATGCAATGTAAATATTGAAAAACAAAGTAGTTTATACTGTTTTATGTTTTGCATCGTTCCGGTCAATTCATTTTCTCTGGGGGCCTCGGTGGCCGAGTGGTCTAAGTAGTTACTACTGTAATCACTAGCCAGTCAACACTGAGGTTGTGAGTTCGAACCCCGCTCGTGCGGGTGCACTCGACTCCAATCTTAATTGACTAGGATTGTCAGTTTTCCTATCGAAGGTCGGTGGTTTTCCCCGGGCACTCCGGCTTCCTCCACTAATAAAAACTGGCCGCCACGAAATAGCCCAAAAGCGGTGCTTAAAAGTGGCGTTAAAACACCAAAAATCAAATCAATCAAATCATTTTCTCTGACCAGCCTGGTATCATAAATTTTGCTTAATCATTCTTCCTGCCCTAAACATCCGTATTTCATAAAACATAATATCAACGTTCAAAAATATGGGATACAAAATACACCATGTCCAAAAATAAAGGATACAATAGACAATATCGTATGATAGAATACCCGTATCTATCATATTGCCTTACCGATACAAATTACTTTCCTGCAACGAAGAATTATTTTGTAATTGTTATTTTTAATTGCACATTTACACGTACTTAAGAATACTTTTTGACTTTTCAGATTTTGATTTTTACGTCTGCCACCCCATAGCCACCAATCAATGTATACCATAAGTGTAACATTTGTTTTAAAATTTTGCTGGGGCCTGGTTTTTGAAAGTATCTTATGAATAAGATATGTCTTGCGATGGTCTAAGGACATGTCATAGTCTTTTTTGTGTTGCTCAGTATGCTAAATAGTAAAAAATCTTCTCCACTTCGTCAATAAAATTTGAATCTCCTGTGACTTAAAATTCTGACCTCTTTTCTTACTCATGGTTATGTACAATACATATATAAATATATATTATTTCTTTCCTTATATATTAGTTTGTTAACGTATTTGAATGGGGCATTCCGTTTAGGAGGTACTCGATTTACCAAATCTTAAGAAGTATTCACGATTAAATAACACTTTATGTATATTAGTACATGAACGAGAAGTTCTAGAATCTCATAATATATATATATATATTTATATATATATATATATACAAGTCTAAATGAACAACGTTCAAACCTATGATTGCGTTGGATAAAAACCGCAATTTTTATACGTGTGCATGCAAAACAAATTTCTTGGTAGAGGGATCTAAATACAGCACAAAACACATTTTCCAAAAGACCAAAAAAGTGAAAAAGTATATTTTAACAAAACGCATTTGACTAGCAGGTCGAACAACGGATGTTCTTAAACCCTGCTGACTGCCATTGGCGATTGCCAAATAAACGGATCACAACATGTAACAAAATGGATCTTAACAATTAATTTGATATCAAACAGAAAACAATAAACTTGCGGAAAAAGATAGTATACCGAAAACAAAAGGGGCAAAAATTAGTACACCATATCCGGATTTCGACAATTAATGTCTCTTCAGTGATGTTAGGAATCGAAACGGTATAGAAGCTAAATTCAAACAAATTATCAACTCAGATTTTAATTTCTTTTCGTATATAATTTCATGTTTACTAAAATGATAATAAAAAATATACGTAAATAATAAGAATGGTTATAATTTTTATTTTCATAATTATTTTTATAATTTTTTCAATCGTTATTTAAAATAAAAGAAAATATGTTCACTTATGATAGTCATAAGAGCATTCTAGATATGATTATCGTAGGACAGTTATTGTTTACATTCTATGACATATCATATGATAGTCATAAGATGGTCATTAAATTTGTCCTAAAACATATCTTATGATACTTTTGAAAACCAGGCCCCAGCTGAATGATAAATTACGAACAGTTTGGGAGATAATGGACATGGGTTGATGCACATTAAACATCTCACGAGTACGCGGAATAAAACAACGTATCAGCTTTTAAAGAAACATAACTTTTAGCTTTGTTTCTTCTTGACAGCCGTTTCCAAATAAGAAATGATAAAAAGAAAGAAGCTACCAAGGAAACAATAAATAGTCATAAAATCAAAGAACCAGAAGGAAAAAGACGAGGAACAAATCAACTACAAGAATAATTTAAATAATTTATGTATAAACCCACCTAGGTTTAAATCAACACAATACGATTTATGTTCGTTCGTGTTCAATTACTTTATGATACATCACGTACATAAATTAGATTTGTTTTACTAATATGCTTTTTTTTCTCTTCTAGTAATGATGGCTTCCAGTAAAGTATTGCTCCTTGTGACAGCATTGGCATTGATAATGCTGGTGTCAAGCTCTCCATTTCATACCGCAATAGCTGCTGAGACCAGGAAAATAAGCAAAAGTAAGTTATATAGTGTATATCTTTAGTTCGCCTAGACCGAAGATGGCTTATGCAGTACCCTGGTGTACTAAAGATATAAGTATACCCACAACAAGATAGATGGAATATTGCTTGTTGGTTGTGTTAGACCCTATAAATAAATTTAAAATATAATTAGAGCTTAGAATATAACAAAGTGCTCTCGACCAATGAAATTGTAGGATTTGATGCCTCTTAATTGTGAAGAATGAATGTAAATAATGTTCTTAGTAAGGGTTTATCCTATTATTTGGGTCTATTTACAATTCAAAACAAAGAGTTTCTATATATGAGTTACAACTGCACATTTATCAGATTGAAAGGATTTATCACACAGTGATTGAAACTGATTAAAAGTTGAATTGTGAAACAAACAAAAAGGTCAAAATAAGTTGAAGCTTACTGGCGCAGTAAAATTGGTACCGTGAATGCTATTATAAAAATATTAATATCTTAAAGTTACTAAAAAAATAACAATATCAAAGCAATGCAAAAAAAAGAAAAAAAAGCTTGAAGATAAAAAATAACCTAAATCTTTAGCTTTCCAATACCTTGATTACTGGATCAGCGGTTGGGAAGAATAGTTATTTCCAATATTCTGATAAAATAAAAGTAAAAATAAAACAGGAATTTAATTAAAGTTTTGAACATTTTAAAAGGCATTTTATTTTAATATTTCTCCGACATAATGAAACAGTATTTGATGTAAAAAGCCGGACTAAAATATTGGCTGTGAAATAAAATTTAGTTGTAACTCAAATGTTTTAATTGATTTAAACTGTAAATAAAAAAAAAGGATATTTCCCCACTTAAGTATTACAGTCATGATTTACATTCATACTCATAATCAAGAAACATATACAATTCATACCTTTTCTTTGTATTATTGTGTCATCTAATCTCTATAACGCATTTTTTTTTTTAGATATTTCCCAAATGATAAGAAAGTCCTTACATCACTAAAACTAATCCATAAATGAAATGCCTAAACAGGAAGTCATGCATCAATTATAAACATTGCACTGACAATGAAACTAATTCTAAAATACAACCAATCAAGAGATCATTTGACCCTTGAGCACTTTACAATATTCTAAGTTTGTAAGAGAATGATAATCCCTTACTTCATGATAAGTACTCGCTAACGCTCGTACTTAATCATGAAGAAAGAGATTATCTTACATATACTTAGAGGATGATATACTTGACCTCAATGAGTAATTTGTCGTATTGATACTGTATAACCACGTGCTTCATTATTATTATTATTATTATTATTATTATTGCAAATTTGCAGATTTTAAATTGTTGGACTAACTTTTAGTATGTCGTAAAGTTGTCACATATTTAGGCTTATATAATAAAAGGCATTGATTAAATGTGTGGTAAGTATTTTCATCCTTTACGACAGATAGATTTCCAAAAATGGTTCATATGCTTGCAACAATACATCGTATACTGCATTACCTCCCTACATGAATCCGACGAGAAACTCATTCATCGATTACAGAAAGCTATATTTTATAAAGCCTAGTTGCACGAGTGGTCTAGATCTCTGCACACAGTGCAGATGGTGTTGCTACAATGTCACAAAAGCATGTGAAGGCAAACATTTGCTAACACAAATTTGAAGATCTAAAATTGGTGTGCTAGGTTTTAGGGAGAGTACGTGTAATTTTTTATGTTAGCCATGTACAGTTGACCTTAGATTTATCTTCCGACTATAACATGTCTTAAGACCATCGTAAGACATATCTTTGTCATAAGATACTTTCGAAAACCAGACCCCTGGTGTTTTGTTTTATTCCTCCGGATATTTTTTACCAATCTGAACTCAGATATATCAAGTTTGAACTAAGAAATGTCAATTTGGAACTGAGAAACTGTCAATATGGAAGTAAGAAATGACAAAATGAAATGCGAAAATTTATAAATAGATTGTTCCTACCGGTTTTCGTAGTTTTCTTAGAGACAAAGCAATCCGTATTTTTATCATTTGTCATTATGCACGTTAACATAGCAAAATGTTTAGAAAGAAACACAAAACGGTCACATTTTTTTTTATCACCAGATGAAGTCTTCAGTGAAAAAACATATTGAAACGTTGCATACGACCTCTATGCATTAAAAGTCGACTTTAAAAATGAGCAATTAATATATGTCACAGGCATTCGTTTTTTACAAAATGCATAATAAGATTGACTATTGTCAAATAATAAAAAAAAAGTTGGAGGATTAAAAAAAAATATCAGTTAATCGTTATGCATGCATTCAATATACGTACACATACCTCCTCATTGCACAATCTTGGATCGATTTGAAGTCGGTTCAAAATTATTTTTCGATGATTAAGTATGGATTTCGAATTAAGTTATTGGAACTATATAGTAAATAGGGATACATCTAAAAAAACACACAGAATGGAAACTTTTGTCTGTTTATGAAATAAACATAAATGAACATGAGTAAACTGTACAATTAGTGCAATTTGGGTACCCGCACGCGCGTTAATTACATGCATGGTTTGTTATAAAACGCTGTTTGTTCAATACGTAATATCATATTTTAAAAAAAAATTGGAATATTTTCCAAAATTAAAATATGAAATATATCTCAGATTTAAACTATTCAATATCTTTAGTTTTTTTTATGAAAGCAGGCTATATTTTCTGACGGACCTTTTATCTAATTTTCAACAACACGACAGTAATGCCAATAGACATCTAGAGGACGGACAACATGCAGTCTTCAACAATAAACACCTGTCTAAACAATATCTGAACTCTTTTTCTAAAATATTAGTATGGGCTAATGTTGCAACATAGCTTTCACTATAGTGGAAACCCTGTGCAGCTGTTGACTCGGTGATCGCATGGAGAAACTTGCTAGTTCTAACTTTGTTTGACTGCATTCACCAACTATTTCTTCTTTTTCTTTCTTATTTAGGGTCTTTAGGGTCCATAACTCCGGACGGATGTTGCTGTCCTAATTGTTACAGAGGTTGTACCTGCTGCTGTGCCAAATGAACTAATATCGAATTATTCTAATCAAGTTATAAATAAATATTTATATATTAAGTGATAAACATGTACATGTACTCTTACTGTCATATCTGTTTATTTGTTCCTGTTTCTGTATTAAGATAAATGAATAGTGTTATGATGTTAACTTAATTATCAAAAGGGTTGTACGGGCGTATTTTACAGTTGAAATGCAATTTAGACATACTGGCAATAGTGCAAGCAGTGGAGATTTTACATGTACTTAAAAATGATGACGAAGTTTTTAGATTATTGACTTTAGAAATTTTGACATAAAAGAGGAGAAAATCGATTATAATTTCAAAGTGTTTATTTCATGTGAGAATGGAAACTAAATTAAAAGAAAAATCGCCTAATGATAAAGCTAATGTTATTTATATTCATCCTTATTGTTGAAGCCTTGAAGAATATGATTTTCCTTCGACACGTTATGTAAAAACAAGTAAACAGTTTATTGTTGAAAACAGTATTTCACCGTACGATGTCTAAACTTATTGTAACCAAGAAAAATTATCTCGCAGATGTAACCCTTACATCTCCTAAGATATTGTGTTTAGTGTATCTTGTGTTGTTTTTTCAATGTTAACTAGTTTGTAGCTATAATTTAAATAAATGAACCAGTGCTAATAAAATTATTTAGTAGAATATTATTCTAAAATTGAAAAGAACTATTATATTTTTAAATATTGGGATCTAACAGCTGCATTCACACAATTAACAATAATAAGAGTTATCCCCCTTTTGACATATAAATGAAAACCAATATACACAAAACTTGAGGGATAAGATTTAAATTGTGGATAAAAGTATATAATTTTATCGAAAAGTCCAGTAAAAGATACGTCGACATGATTAGTTTTTTGAGAACTCATATAGAAGCATGATTCCGCTCAAACCGGTGCTTGGGGCCGTCTTAAACTTGCAGTGAGGTGAGAGACTATTTTTTGCTACGTGTTGAAGGCCTCACTTTGATTTTGAGATAAAGAACAGCAATAAAATCGCTGTTCAAATTACATCTTCAACTTTGATATAATTATGTGAACATTAATATTAGTTTATCATATCATTAACACTTTCATGCTCACAGCTTTTCCAAGATCAGTCTTTTCTTAAAGAATAGTTATGTACTGCAATACCAAAAGGGCTAACTCTATATACAGAAAAAGGGGTGTAAAAATGGTCACTGCATGAAGCCTTTCTCTAATTCATCATCAATAATAGTTGTGATTGAATCAGGATCTCTCCTGGCTGACAATGCATTTTTTCTTTCAAATGCTGATATATTAATATCAGACACTTACACATCAAAATCATATCAAACACTATTACACAGTAAATTGATTACATTTTTGTCGGTGTGATTTCTAAATTCAAATTCTAACTGATACTGATACAGAATAGGCGAAAGAGCTGGTATGGTAATTTAATAATCTTTTGGGGAATATTTTACTACTGGTAACTTGGTTTTGATTATTATTAGGTTGTTGTTCTCTTTTGTAGCTTTGGCAAGTAACTTTGCTGTGAGTTTTACTTTTACAAATTTTACAAGCATGTATGTAGACTCATTAATTTGGGCGTAAATAACTCTGAGTAGGGTTCTATATGGTGTATTATAGGCAATCTCAAATAAATACCCTGTAACATATAAATCATACCATAAGAGATCATAAGACACAATACACACGTACTAAGAACGATAACTCTAATTATCTCCATATCAATAAAATCAAATATAAATTATCCAAGTAGTTAACTATAGTTTGAAATATACAATAATTGATAATTACGTTTTACTACAAATCATAAGCATCTGTACCACAGTCTATATCCGGTAAACTAATCAAAATGCAATATTACAGATATCAGTAACACCTTGTGTCAACGATCATCATTTAAAGTAATCAATCTAATACACTATTTTATTTGGAGATAGTTGTAAACTGAACAATAACAAATTACAATCACATAAAGTTTAAAAAAAACACACATTACAATCACAGACAAGACACAAATCAATTAAAACACATAAGTACAAATAGACAACACGTAAATAAATAAACATGTAAACACAGAACACAGCTTACCGTGTATTTAATACAGGGGCTGGGTAGTGCTCCTCTATAAATTTACTGTACTTCTATATATACTTCACATACTGCAATCTGAATATAAAGAAATATTGACTTCATAAGTCTTAATGTCAAAAATAATATATAATCTTGTTAAAACCCAATGCAAGACAATATTCTATGCTGGAAATAATAACAGCCAAACATTTCCGTTTGAATGGTTTTACAGTAGTAATTTTTTGGGGCCCTTTATAGCTTGCTATTCGGTGTGAGCCAATGCTCCGTGTTGAAGGCCGTACCTTGACCTATAATGGTTTACTTTTATAAATTGTAACTTGGATGGAGAGTTGTCTCATTGGCACTCATACCACATCTTCCTATATCTAAATATGAAAAATAATATAACAGCTGTAATATTTTATCTCTCTTGCAAATACCAACTTAAAGTTAAAATAAGAACTCTTTCATTGGGGGTCTTTCATACTCATGGGAATCAAACTGGACTTTCATACACATTTTCATAACACTTTCATATCTTTCATACCAAGATAAAAATATAGAAAATACACGCATCAAAGATTAATGTAGAGAATATAACTGACCTGAATGTAAAGAATGGTTTCCAGAATAAGGATAATAAATATATATATATATATATATATATATATATATCACAATAAAGTGGTAGTTTTCTATATTCTACAAAAAATTTGAAATTAATGCCTCAATATCAAAGGAGTTCAGGGGCCTCGATGGCCGAGTGGTCTTAGAAGTTACTACTGTAATCACTATCCAGTCAACACTGAGGTTGTGAGTTCGAACCCCGCTCGTGCGGGTGCACTCGACTCCAATCTTAATTGAATAGGATTGTCAGTTTTCCTATCGAAGGTCGGTGGTTTTCTCCGGGCACTCCGGCTTCCTCCACCAATAAAAACTGGCCGCCACGAAATAGCCCAAAAGCGGTGCTTAGAAGTGGCGCTAAAACACCAAAAATCAAAAAAATCAAATCAAAGGAGTTCACAGAGTAACCAATCGGAATAAAGAAATAGAAAACCGAGGATGTAAATACCAAAGTGAATAGAAAATCAAAGTACTGTCATACTGTATACTCTGTCAGAGTCAGTCAATAAGTCAATGCATGAACAAATATATACAAATACTGTTTATTAAAATAAATAATCAATTCAAGTTGTACTACATGTACATATTTACAAAAAGTTTTAACGCAACCTTTAAACCAATTAAAAATTTTACAGACAGATAAACCATCTACATAAACTACTTCACGACTAAGACAATCAGATGTGTTTTGTTGAATGTAGAATTTCGTTAAGGCTGAGCATTATTTAGCTGTACACTGCACATGACGGTAGATAGAGTTGTTGAATGAAATTTCCTACATATGTTTATCTTTTATCCTGCGCATACCATTTGACGTAACTCTGGATACCCCTTGGACCAATCTATCTTGATATTGTGCTGAAGTAGCATAATACACCATTTTGCTGAGAACAATTTATGATATTCTTAAAACAAATCTGGCCAAATGTGAGCAAGGTTAAGATTTAACTCTTCAATTCTGTTTGGGAATGATGCGCACATAACTCTTTTACAACGTCCAAGGCAGTTACAAACTCATCCATAGAGATGTTTCTCTGAAGTCTTTCATCACATTCTTTAAATTTATTATTTGCTGGATTTTCTATATGCACTGCTTATAAAACCGAAGACGAATCAATGAGCTATCTCGAATTCTAAGTTGAAAAGAAGGCTAACATGCTAAAAGAGGCACAACAGTGAAAATTCCATCTTACTACTTTAAAATGAATAATCCTTTATGATGATTTCTATAAAAAATAAATCGCATCTATAGCGATCAAAGAGCCGGAGTAGGTCATACGGATTTAGACCAGCGCAAGAACACAGAATAGAGCCAAAAATAATTTGCGATTTATTTCAGTACACACGATCTGAAATGTCCTTTCATCTTATACATTGCTTTTCACTAAAAGTTATAGAAGCATACAACGTCTAAGCATTAAAACAAAATTTTCATAAACAACACAAATAATACCGTCTTATCCTTTTTTGCCCCAGGAAGTTGCAACTTATTAATACAATTATGAACTGAAAATTTGTCAAGATGTATCATTCAAAAAGTAAAATCACAAAAATACTGAACTCCGATTCAAATCATTCCAATACACTACAATACCAATACTGGGTCTGAATCTGCATCGCTGCAAAGAGTAAAATAACAAAAATACCGAACTCCAAGGAATATTCAAAACGGAAAGTCCTTTATCAAAGGGCTCAGAAAGCTCAAACACATCAAACGAATGGAAAACAACTGTCATATTCCTGACTTGGTACAGGTATTTCCTTATGTAGAAAATCGCTATATCTCTCACTTGTATGACACTCGCATAGAGTTCCAATTCCTACAGATCAACATTATCAAGTTCCAGACCAAATATTTGTTTCTGATAAAATCATATAACTTACAGCTATTCAAGTCGTGCTGGTACTGTTCCCGAATTTTGTTTAAAAAAACATGCAACAAATTGTAAAGAACTGCATTTCCACAGCAGTAAATTGTGTGAATTTAGGTATTATTCCAAGAACCCGTACAACAAGGGGCACTCGAGGTTTAACTAAATTATTAAAAATAAATTTCATGTCATTTGCTTCTGAAATTCAAATTACATGTGCAAAAATGTCTAAGTTTCGAAACAAGGCATCATAAAAACATATCCATTGATGTTAACCATGCTGAATAAAGGAAAATGTTACCATTACGGCCTGCATGAAGTTAATTGCATTTTATGAATTACAACTGGCTCAATTGCGTACATTGAACCAGTTGTAATTCATAAAAGCTTTAATGAAAATATAAATATTGTTTGTACAATTCATCATTACATGCTTCAAAATGAAAAGACATGTAAAGACGTAGAAATTACTATT